GGAATCCGGGCCAGAATAATGCCTGGTTTGCATCTACTTGGGCTTTGAGTGCGGTGAGGATTTCCCGTGCGGCCCCGATGCAGGTCTGTAGGCCGGAGGCAGAATTCGGGCGTGGAGGGGCTTAGGGACAGAGATGGTCGGTTGATGAGGAGAATGAGGTGTTGGTAGAGGACGGTGAAGAAGGGCCCGAAGTTGAATGGTCTATCGGCTATGGCGTCTTGATCGGTTGGGGTCTTAGGTTTGGAGATCAACTGAGAGACTGTTCCACCATTTGTGGACGTCGGTGATCAGGAAGAGGACCGAGCTGCGGCGGATGGAGCGGACGAGGATGGATTTGTGGAAGAGTTCCAGTGCTCTCCCTGTGAGTTTGCCGGATTCAACATAGCTTGCGAAGGCGATTTCTCTTTTGTTCTGGAGTGGCTCGGAGTCACTCGGCGTATTGCGATGGGATTCGTGACCAAAAGATTGCTCAGCCGGTAGTTGTATTGCATCAGCACTGCTCGCTGGTGCAGAAGATGCTCTATCGTCGAGGTTGAAAGTAGACAAGCCCATTCTAAGGCCGTGTGCTCTATGTGATCCGGGGACATGGATTTCGTCGGCCCCTGGGGCGCAGACGTCGATATCGGAATCTTGTATGCCAAGAGGAAGACCAAGAGCCTGGCTTAGATACCGGTCTATAGCGTACGCACACCAGAATATCCTCTTGCGTAACTGCCGATCATGCGATGAAAGTTCCCTGTATCGGAATGGACAGCGGTGGAGACCGGCATGCATCATTGATCGTAGCATACAGCCGCCCACTGTTGATGCCATTCGAAGTGACATTTTGGCTACCAAATATAGTTGGGATGCTAGCAGTGCCTGCAGAGACGAGAGATCATTTCTAAAAGTCAGAGAACTGAGTAATGACTGCATATTGCTCGGTGATTCAATTCGAGACTCTAATGGAAGACGCAAGTCAGGCCTCAAATGGCTCGCTAAATTGAACACGCACTGAAATATCACTGTCCAGCATGTATTTCGGTGGTCTGGCGATGGTGGAATAGAATGGCTTTTGCGTTGATCGGAATAGAGCAGTTCCATTGCTTGCAGGAAGGTTGGTCCATGCAGAAAGGGAAACAATGGGTGCCAAACTTTGAAATATACCATCATGAGTTCTCTTGCGGTGTCTAGCGGCGGTGCTTGACCCAGTATCGCCGCCATTGCAGGGTCGTATTCCCATTGACAAAAAGGTTGTTCGCCCCCGGGCATCGGTGATGCTTTGACAGAGGATGGGGCAGAGCGCCTGTCATGGTGCGAGCCATCAATGCCAACGAGGGTGTCCTCTGGCAGTGGGAATTCTTGCCCGGAGGATGCATCTAACGTATCCAAGTTTCTTGAAAAAGCCTGTCGGACCGTATTAATAAAGTAAACACCGCTGGAACTGCCAACAAATTGACTCTCTTCGTTGGATTGTGCCGTCAAGGAACCGATTTCTGACGGGCCAGACGTGAGATCCGTGGACTCCATTCTGGCCAAAACATGGTGCTTTGCCAGATGTTGGATAGTGAGCAGCAGGGCTACAACGATATCCTGAGAGAAGAAGTGTCTATTGGGATCTTTGCATTGGTAAACCCCGTTCAGGGTGAGAGTCAGACTCCATGACTCGAAACCTGGTCTAGTTCGTCTTTTTATGAACAACATCCCGCTGAGTCAGCCAGCCCAATGTAGGATGCACAACTATCCATACAATCATGATATACGAAGGACGGAGCATATTCTATTCTTTTTGGCTCGTTATTCTTACTGGTTCATAGCATTTAATTTGTTACACTGTTTAAGGTAACGAGAAATTTCAAAGACTGAATATTATGGAAGACATTGCTATGAGGTGTTTCCCCAAATAGAACGAAAAGGCAACAGGCACATCATACCAAGCGCTCAATCTCTTTATTCACAGCATCCACCACTCCTTGTGTATTCGACGTGCCTCCGAGATCCGGCGTGAGGATACCAGCAGCGCATACCCTTTCCACGCAATCCATGAGCTTCTTCGCCGCCTCCTTTTCACCCAACCAGGACAGCATCTCCGCAGCGGACCAGAAAGTAGCCACGGGGTTGGCCACCCCCTTGCCAGTGATATCGAATGCACTCCCGTGTACTGGCTCAAAGATAGAGGGATTCTTGCGGGTTGGATCCAGGTTGCTGGAAGGAGCCACACCGATAGATCCAGCCAATGCCGCCGCCAAGTCGGACAGAATATCCATGTGCAGATTCGTTCCCACGATAGTGTCGATCGATTGGGCTTCGCCACCATGCGGACCGTCATTGCATCCACCAGCATTTTGTCCCACGTAACGTCGGGGAAATCCTTAGCGACTTCCGCCGCGACCTGGTCCCAGAGCACCATCCCATTCCGCATGGAGTTACTCTTCGTAACCACGGTCAGTAGCTTGCGGGGTCTGGATTGCGCGACTTCAAAGGCAAAGCGCATAATCCTCTCGATTCCCACACGGGTAAACATGGCCACCTCCGTCGCAGCTTCCCAGGGTTGACCGACGTGACTGCGTCCGCCCTGACCGGAGTACTCTCCTTCGGAGTTTTCGCGCACAAGCATCCAGTCAATGCCCTCTGTCGCAGTGTTGAGAGGGCATTTGGTGCCCGGGAATGTGCGCACGGGACGGACATTAGCATATAGCTGCAGCGGCCCACGAAGGGCTAGTAAGAGACCCCAAAGGGAGATGTGGTCCGGAACATCTGTGTCGCGTATAAGCATGCGGATGCGAGTGCAACGTCTCCGCCGGGTTTATCTAGTACTGACCTGGGGCACCGACGGCACCAAACAGCCCGGCGTCGAACTTGCGCAGCGTGTCTAAACAATCTTCGGATACATATCGGCCGTGTTCCTTGTAGTATGCAGTTCCCCATGGAATGTGGGTGAAATCGATATCGAACGTTCCAAGGGTCTTGGCGAGCTTTTCCACCACCTGGATGGCGGCGTCGACGACTTCAATGCCTATCCCGTCGCCCGGAATAGACGCGATGCGGTAGGTATGTTTCTGAGAGGCCATTTTGTGTACAATATGCGTGATTCTAGAGATCTAGTCGAACTTGTCAGATCAAGGACCCTGCATGTATTATAAATAATGTTGTATCCTGGATCTTTATGATGTGGATGAAGCCAAGCATACTTCGTCGGTCGTGTTCTGGCTGAAGGTTCATCCGTTGCGGAGTAGAAGATGCCCCACGTATACTCATTCAACAACGCGATTAGGTACCAAGATAGGGACCCATTACAATACTCCCCTAGAAAGATAGTAGATGCAGAGCGGAATGACAAGGGCTTTGTTGCCGCAGTTTGTTCCACGTTTTCATGGCCGCCTTCATATACGCACAGATCTGGCTACACGTATGCGCTTGGTAGCATTGCAATCAAACGCGTGGATGTTTCATTCAATCTTAAATCTATGCTTGTGTTGCCGAAGAAGTGTAACTGGAAATTTGATATGTACGACCTGGGTGTGGATCCAAGAACTTTCTGTACACCTTAAGACATGGACATACCGTGTTGCCTGAATTTGAATGTATAACTCCATGCTGAGTGTGGCTATATGGGAAAGCTACTTACAATGATACAGTTGGATGTCAGACATACTCTCGTACTGCACCTCAAAGGGTCCAGCTTGTCGAATTACACAGCTTCCTCGGGCTCATACAACTAAAGCCGAGGCAGCAACGGTACACCCAGGCTAGGAGCCTAGAATAGTAGTTTGAGCAACACTACAGCATAAAAGTCTCTAGAGCTTGATTCAAGAGTAATGTCTCACATCGACAATGCGGAAATGACTTGTGTGAGCATGCGTGTGACGCTGGTTCATGTCACAGTTTCATACCAACGCAGTATAAAAGCCCAGCACATGCCCGCTTAGCAGCCCATTGACAAGCTAGTCACTACAGCATTATCCATAAAGCCCTAACTCACTTACGAGTTCACCTTTCATTATGAGAGCAACTCTTCCCTTGCTTGCACTATTCACTGCTCTCCCGGCTGTCCTGGCAGCTGGAAGATGCAGAGAGGGTCTGAACTATTGCGGATCCACCTTGATCTCGCTGGGTTTGGTTGCCAATCTCCCGATGTTGTGTCTGCAAAGCTAACTATGCTCTCTTCTAGGATGGACACAGAGCGAACTGCTGGCGATTGCAGACGGAGACACCAACGTCGAGAAGGCTCTCTTTTACTGCGAGATGGACGGCATCGTCGAGTACTCTGGACCTTGTACGGTGTGCCAACGGGCCCCGGATGGACATTCTGATGCCTGTGTATGAAGCTCTTTGTGATAATCTATGAATAACTGGAGCTGATAAGTGGATTAGGATGAGAGTCAGGGCCCTTGAAGTAAGGCGCTGACGGGTCTAGCTTGGAAGCAGGTCCTTGTTGACTTCAGTACGCTGGGCCGAGACTGCATATTGCGTGTCTTCCAGTAGTGAGGACCAAATACTTTTCAATGACACGCTGTAACTATGACATTGCACTCAAGTGATGTATAGTTCTTGAACCTGAATTATACAGGGAATTATTGGAGTATGATCCCAGCTCCTTTGTAGAACACATGCCTAGTCCAGTGCATAGAGTCAAACTGATAAGTCGCATAACCCCCGCATTTCGAGCGCCAGGGACCGGGGTTCGACCCGATAGATAACAGAAAGATGGACTGGAAACCAATTGATAGAAAGGCGTAAATCGGATTTCCACCCGATATACATGGATCTAGCAAGTCGGATGCGGAGCCGACAGTTCGGGCCTCGACGCCGAGGGAAGCCACTTAAAAGCCGTTGAACGCGCTGGAATCGCAGAGACATATCATATACCCCAGAGTCTCGACGATTGCGTTATATTTCCGAAGATGTTGCTTAAAATAAGAAAGCACCTCAGCACAGCGGCGCAGACCGCCCCAATAGAAACGGACGTTTCGGCTTCATTTTTCGACGCCGCATCATATATCCCCCCGGATGCGATCTTCGCTCTGACGGCAGAGTACAATGCGGATACCTTTCCCCAGAAGGTCAACCTGGGCCAGGGGACTTATCGCGATGAGAATGGACAGCCATGGGTCCTGCCTTCTGTGCAAAAGGCTCGCGAGACTCTTCTTTCCCAAGGGCTATACCACGAATACCTACCAATTCTTGGCCTCCAAACGTTCCGCAATGAAGCCACAAAACTGGCCTTAGGATCGGAAATATATGACAAGAAACAGTCCCAGGTATATTCCAACAATCTCTTGCAGATTTTGGTTTCCACTATAATAGCAAATGCTGATAAATAACCAGCTTGCCATCTGCCAAAGTCTCTCGGGAACTGGTGCTCTGCATCTGGCAGGATTGCTTCTCCGAAGCGTTCGCAAACCGCTGCCGAAAGTGTACATTCCTTCGCCAACCTGGTCAAACCACGGCCAAGTCTTCTCGTCACTGGGATTCCAGTGTGAAACATTCCAGTACTATGATGCGGAGAAGAGAGATATTGATATAGAGGCGTATTACTCGGCGCTGAGAGCCGCGGAGCCAAACTCCGTTGTTATTATTCACGCCTGTGCTCACAACCCTACCGGTTGCGACCCCAGCAAAGAGCAATGGAAACAGATTGGCTCGATAATGAAAGAACGGAAATTGTTTCCACTATTTGATGCCGCATATCTAGGCTTCAACTCGGGAAATGTGGATGACGACGCGTTTGCTATGCGCTATTTTATAGACGAACTAGAAATGGAAGCTGGCGGTTGTCTTTCCTTTGCGAAGAACATGGGACTTTACGGTACGAGACAATGACGCCTCCTCAAGGTTGACCAAATTATGACCCTGTGCTTCGCTAACGCTATAACTATAGGTGAGCGTGTGGGTTGCCTGTTCTTCGCAACCGGGACAGCAAAGGCTGCGAGAAACACGCAGTCCGTTCTTGAGATGCTACAGCGCTCCGAAGTGTCAAATCCACCAGCCTATGGAGCGAAGATAGCAAGTACTATTTTGAGCGACGATGCCTTAAAAGAGATGTGGTTTGCAGACTTGATCACTATGAGCGGACGTATTCGCTCCATGCGACGAGCGTTGTATGATGGACTGATTAAATCTGGTAAGTTTCTCTCCCCGGAAGAATGAGTATCCTCCTACTGATACAGTTATAGGGGCCCCTGGCACATGGGAGCATCTGATACGCCAATCTGGAATGTTTGGATTCTTAGGACTTTCACCTGCAGTCGTCCAGAAGCTCAAGGGTGAGTCTTCTTCTGAAAGCCGTCTTCCTATGACCATTCTAATCGCTTCTTCGCAGACAAGTATCACATCTATATGGCGAGTAACTCTCGGGTTTCCATCGCTGGACTTAATCCGTCGAATGTTGAATATGTGGCACACTCGATTGCTGAATGTCTTAATGAATCCTAGTGCTCTGTTAGCTCTGTATAGTCGGCTACTGGCCATGATAGATGAAATATAAAGGTCCCCGTACCTAGTTAACGATGAAGGTTCTAGTAAAGTAGATCAAACTTTCCAATCCTTATCAACGTCTAGTCACATGAACCGAAGCCCTACCCCTCTCTCTTTTGCGGGGATTGAACACGCTTCTTATCACTTCATAGACAGATACCCTGAGGACTACTATTACCCACTCGCAAGAAGGTATCTCTTCCAAAAAACATATCACTATGACTAGCTCGAATCTCGTTCCTAAGCCATGGGTACCACGCGACCAACCCCCAGACATTACCCTCATCAACATCAACGTAATCGATGTAGAGGCCGGCCATGTTATCCCGAACTGTAGCGTCCATGTACAAAATGGGCTTATTGCACGCATTATGCCAGCGTCATCACTATCCAGAAGCTCCGAGGCGCCGTTCACCACCGGACCGAGGACAAAAACCAAGTTCATCAACATGCGAAACCAATATCTGTGCCCCGGATTGATAGACTGTCATGTCCATCTCACAGCCACCCCAGGAAGCACCTCACTCAGGGACATATTCGCCGCAAGCCCCAATACAATCGCATACCGCACCACTCACGTCGCCCGGAGCATGCTCCTTCGAGGCTTCACCACCGCGCGAGACACAGGCGGCGCCGATGCGGCACTACGCGATGCCATCGCAGAGGGGCTGCTACCTGGCCCGCGCCTCTTCATCGCGGGCAAAGCCCTCTCTCAAACCGGCGGCCACGGGGACTTGCGAGCCCCGTATCAGGGCGACGAGCATAGATGCTGTGGTGGACACTCGCCTGCGCTTGCCCGTGTCTGCAATGGCGTCCCGGCGTGCTTAGAGGCCGTTCGAGATGAGCTACGGCAAGGGGCGAACTTCATCAAGATAATGTGCGGAGGGGGAGTCGCGACACCCACCGATGCGCTCGACATGCTCCAGTTCACGGCCGAAGAGATTCGCGCGATCACTACCACCGCCGCATACTCCAAGACCTACGTCACCGCTCACGCCTATACGACGCAGGCAATCCGCCACGCGGTCGACAATGGAGTGCGTGGCATTGAACATGGCAACTTCATTGACCCCGAGACTGCCAGATACTGTAAAGAGAAGGGGGTGGTGGTCACCCCGACACTGATCACCTATCAGGGAATGACAGAGCCCCCGTTTGATCATTTTCTGGACGAGTTCAGCCAAGCGAAGAACCGTGAAGTTCTGGCTAGTGGCCTTAGGGCACTGGAGATTCTACGCGACGCGGGCATCACGATGTGCTACGGTTCGGATCTTCTAGCGGGTCTCCACACGTTGCAGAACCGTGAGTTTAGCATTCGATCGGCTGTTCTCAGTCCGCTGGAGATCCTTCAGTCGGCGACTATCAACGCTGCTAAATTGGTGGGTATGGAAGGGAAATTGGGCTGTATTAAGGAGGGGGCGATTGCGGACTTTCTGATTCTCAATGCCAACCCCCTCGAAGACATCACGGTCTTGGACCATGTACAGAGGTCCTTAGTGGCGATTGCCAAAGATGGGCGGATTGTTACTAGTAGGATACCTGAGTTAACAGTGGACCCTCTTTACGATCCGTTTAGGATCCCATCTGCCTGATGAATCTGGGCTGTGGAGATCGACTACAAGTAGTACTCTGCATTTGACCATTCGGAGCCGTTTCCAGAGTCTGTCTAAATAGGGCTGGTTGGGTATTGAGACCAAGAGTGGGGGTTTTCAGACCCAACATACAAACGAAGCTTTGGCCTTTCTCCTGCACTTTATGTGTTAGGGCTTGCTAGCCCAAGAACTACGCTCAAGTAGATCAACACTACACAACGTGAATGTAACTAGTTAGTTCTGCAAGCCTGTTACCAATTATAGAATGCGTTAACAGTGTGTAGACAACCCTCTACGTTTCCAAAGGATTACCTTTCCTCAGTAACGCCAAAAGCGAACTGCAGAGGAATGGCATTTCCTGCATTTGGACTGCTGATATGCACGTATGTGCTGAACAAATATAGACGCATTCATCAAGGTTTAGCTCCTACAATGATCCGGTCTCAATTATGGCTGCCCGATGTCTGATCTATACCTGTGTGGCTTTCCAGACAGGGATATCAGATGGTTCCTTTCGAGATGGAAGCTTTGAAGAGGACTAAGTTCATGCAGCCATGCTACCCATGCGTTGTCCTATACAAGAATATTTTAGTTTCTGCTATCCTGCTTGAACCTTATGGTCTATCTACATTCGCGTCTGGACCTGAAATAGGGATGTGGGGGATCAGAGAACAAACTATACATTCTGGTAGGCTGTGCACATGCAGGTATCCTTTGAGATGGACCAGTGGAAATTGTCCCACTGTCTTGTTTGAGTGTTCCAGATTCATCTAGATAAAGGTTGCTGCTACACCGAATGGGTACATGTAGATACGCCTCAATGACGCTTTATAGATAGTAGTTCACTGGTTTTTCGTCAGCAGAGTGCCAAAGCACCATGATAGTAGGGGTTATTTGGAATTTCAGTACAGGAGATGGCGTTGCCACGTAAGGAATCTTGGTGTTTCCTCCAGGATAAGTGGGCTTGTCTGAGTGCTGTGTGACTTATGCAGCGAGGTCGACAGCAAACGGAGTCCCTAGAGCTGGCCTAAGCATTCATGGGGCCCACACGTCACTGAGACTTGTGCAACTGGGCACTGGGAAAATAAAGGCATTATATCAAATTTGACCAGGCAATCCCATGATACGGTATGATTCTGTACTATGCATGCTCGCCACCGCGGTATTGGGAATATCACCCCAGCATGATTGTCCAGTGGGCGAAGGATGGGGACGACGCATCCTTGCAGCGTTAGTGTCTGACTAGTACTTACCCCTCCAGATAAATGTATTGTTGAGCTGGGCAAGCGACTAGCTGGCGCCTCCTATGCAGGAAATATAAATCGTTTCTTCTCCTACCATGCTAGTTTTCCCCACACCAAGCGGCTATTGTGATCTGCCATTTCGCATTTCGACCGGACGCGCCGGATCCTTACTGTCCCCTCAACTCGAACTACGTTCTTTTTTTTTTTTAGAACACACACACACACACACACACACACACACACACACACACACATCAAAATGCGCCCGAGGACCGCCGCGGATTTAACGTCGCCATTATCTGCGCACTTCCAATAGAGGCGGATGCCATTATCGAGCTGTTTGATGAAATCTACGACCACCAGTACGGCAAACATTTCGGGGACGTGAACTCCTATACAGTGGGAAGGATATGGACACACAATGTCGTCCTGTGCCATATGCCCGGAATGGGAAAAGTAAGTGCTGCGAATGTGGCGGCACATATGAAGTCCAGTTACCCTCAAGTCCGTCTCGCGTTGGTTGTTGGTATCTGCGGTGGAGTTCCTGTGCTGCCGTCCAGTAAGACTTCAATTCTTTTAGGCGATGTCATCATCAGCAATTCGGTTGTCCAATATGATTATGGTCGACAGTACCCAAACGGTTTTGAGCGAAAGAAAGACGGCCTAGATACACTAGCAAGGCCATGTCAAGAGATCCGAGGCCTACTGCAGCTCTTGGAAACCCACAGAGAACGCCAAACCTTCCAGAATGACGTTATCCAGTATCTCGAGGTACTGGAACAATCACGGTCAATTTGGAAATATCCAGGCAATACGTGCGATGTTCTATTTCGGGCTTCTTATCATCACAAGCATCGTCAGCAGGCTGCTTGTGTGGAATGCATATGTCTCAACAATGAAGGCCCTGATCAGATATGCCAGGAGGCTCAAAATAGTAGTTGCGACAGCTTAGGGTGTGATGAGGAGGGCATTGCCCGTCGCCGATCTGATAGTTTGCATACAGCCACGCCATCAGTTCACATTGGAAAGGTTGCCTCTGGTGACATGGTTATGAAGTCTGGAGCGCATCGTGACAGGCTGGCAACTGATGACAGCGTTATTGGCTTCGACATGGAAGGGGCAGGGGTATGGGATGAATTGCCATGCATCATCATCAAGGGCGTATGTGACTATGCAGATAGCCACAAGGATAAAAGTTGGCAAGCATATGCCGCAGCAACTGGCGCATCAGGCGCAAAAGCTTTCTTGCGGTATTGGAGTCCTGCCTCCGATGAAGGTCAGTCAACGATGCTTGACCCGTGCATTTACACTCTGCTAAGTTTAGTGAAATATAGATGCAAAGCCAAAGAACCCTCACTGGATGGTCCCTTTTGAGAGGAATCTACAATTTGTTGGCCGTCAGAATGAGATTGCGGAGCTAGAAAGATTGATAATAGAGAGGCAAGGCCCAAGCAAAATCGCGGTTAGCGGATTGGGAGGGGTTGGAAAGACCCACGTTGCACTGGAGCTGGCTTATCGTGTTCGAGAAAGAGATGTTGACTGCTCGGTTTTCTGGATCCCATGTACTAGTCCTGAAATCATTGAGCAGACTTACATGGACATCGCCCAGATGCTTGGAATGCAAGATGTTAAACCAGCAGAAGCAAAAGAGCAAGTCAAGGCATATCTTCGTCATAAGGACGATCTGAAGTGGCTTCTTATCTTCGACAACGCAGATGATATGGATATGTGGATCAAGGGGAGCAATGGGGCTCCAGCACTTAAGGACCTTATACCTCAAAGTGAACAAGGTCGAATCCTCTTTACTACTCGTAATAGAAAGCTTGCTGTAAAGCTGGCCTCCCGTGAGATCGCGATCTCCGAGGTAGATGAGGAGACTGGTGTGAAGATGCTAGAAACGGCACTGCCTGGGGAAGACGTGATAAAAGACCGCGAAACCGCCGTGGCCCTATTGAGTCAGCTGACCTTCCTGCCCTTAGCAATCATGCAAGCAGCGGCATTCATCAAGGAAAACACCATCAGCCTTGGAGACTATCTAACTCTGCTACAGGAGCAGGAACCAGAGGTGGTGGAGCTTCTGAGCGAAGATTTTGAGACAGAAGGGCGTTATCAGGATGTCCCCAACCCGGTAGCAACTACCTGGTTAGTTTCATTTCAGCAAATCCAGCAGATTGATCCACTGGCTGCTGAGTATCTCTCGTTCATGGCTTGCGTCAACCCACGAAATATACCACAGTCACTCTTGCCACCAGCAAAGTCCAAGTTAAAGCTGGTGAACGCCCTCGGGCTTCTCAGTGCCTATTCATTTATTTCTGGCCAAGCCAGGGATAGCCCTCTTAACCTTCATCGACTTGTACATCTAGCGACTCGCAACTGGATGAGGAGAAACCAGCAATTCACCCTGTTTATCTGCAAAACAGCAGAAAGGCTTAGAGACATTTTCCCCGAAGGTGACCACGCAAATCGGGTTCTGTGGCGGACATATTTACCACACGCACTGGCTTTGTTAGAAGAGGATGCGTTTAAAGGTCAGCAAGAACAATACATAGACTTGCTTGAAAATGTTGGTGACTGTCTGGTCAGTGACGGGAGATACAATGAGGCAGAAGCGCTGCTTTGCTACGTCAGAGACATACGGCAGAAGCGAAATGGGGAAGCACACCTTTCAACTCTGACCAGCATGAGCAAATTAGCATCAGCATACTTTGGCCAAGGTCGATACACGGAAGCGGAGGCGCTCAATATTCATGTGTTAGAGACCAGAAACCAGATACTGGGTCCAGACCACCCTGATACCCTGACCACTATGACTGTCCTAGTGGTGATAAACCGGCAGCATGGACGCTTTAAACAAGCAGAAGAGCTCATTATGAAGGTACTGGATAGTCAGAGCCGAGTGCTAGGTTCTGAACACCCCTCGACTCTGATCAGTACATCCAGACTGGCATCAGTTTATCTGATGCAAGGACGATATAGACAAGCTGAAGAGCTGTTTACGCAAACGATGGAGAGAATGAAGGTGGTGTTGGGCCCTGAGCATCCTGCTACTTTGTCTACAATGAACAGACTAGCCACACTCTTGAAAACCTGGGGGGCAAAACCCCAATTGAAACTAGCGGAAGAGCTGGAGAAGGAAATGATTGAGACCCAGAAGAAAGTATTCGGCCCCAGACATCCAACAACCCTGATCGGCATGAATAACCTGGCATTGACATACTGGCACCAAGAAAAATGGCAGCAAGCAGAAGAGCTCGGGACAGAAGTAATTGAGGCCAAAAGGCAACTGCTTGGATCGGAACATCCATTCACTCTGACCAGTATGAATAACCTGGCAATGATATATTCCCAGCAGGCCAAATGGAGACAGGCAGAGGAGCTGGTGACCCAGACACTGGAAAGCAAGAAGAATGTATTAGGCTCCGAGCATGTTGACACGATAACCACCATGTTGAACCTCGCTCATATTTGGAGACAAACAGGCAGACACAGAGATTCTATTCGATCCCTGGCTGAGTGTGTCCGACTCCGTGAAAAGCAGCTAGGTCCCAAGCATCCTCATACGGTGAGAGCGAGAGATATACTCAGTCAATACGAGGAGGAACTAGACCAGGACGAGAGCCAGGAATCAAGCGTGTTTTCGGAGACAGAAACCTCAGGCGACGAAACGATAGGATGAACCTTGCAATTTGCGCACCCAAGCTGGTCTTCTCGTCGGGTAAACCTTCTACCGCATGCGCTTCTCTCCCCACTCGAACACCAGACAGAATAATCGTCCTTCTTGTATGCACAGTTATCATTCTCAAGCCACGTCCCCAATTAGCCATCGTCTTGCCTTCTGATGTTGAACTACTGCACATCAAATACTTAACAGAATCTGGATAAATTGTTGTGAGATGGCTCCCTCAACGAAAGTAACGAAAGCGTCCCGTATTACAATTGCTTGTAACGCCTGTCGATTTCGGAAGCAAAAAGTGAGAAGCATATCGGTTCAAACTTTCCCCTGGACCATAGAGCTAATGTATTGTGTAGTGTAGTGGCAAAAAGTGAGGCTTGACTCTTAGCCATAACTGATATGGACCGCATTGTAACTAATAGGGTGATCTCAAGGCCAGTGTGTACCCAATGCCTCCAGCACAATCGGATATGTGACTGGCCTGAGCAGCTTAAACGGTTCGTGTGATACTCGTTCTAAGATTTGGACCGCAGAGATCTCATGCTCCTACAGTGGTCCTGCAAAAGGCTATATAGAGTCCCTAGAGCACCGGTTGCATGAAACAGAAAACGTCTTGCTTAAAGTGCTCTCTCAGATCTCGGACGCTCAGCTGTCCACCAGTATCGCTCAAGGCCAGCAGTACAGAACGAGAAACAGCAATGGCCACTTGCTGTACTCCCCAGTGCCCCGTCTAGGGAGAAGAGGCGCGGAGTACTGGAAAAGATTTCCCCTGGATACCCCCCACAATGTCCGGGAATGGCAATATGATTGTCTAGATCAAGGTTTAGAACCTTCAACGCCTAGCATCTCTGATAATAATACCAGTCTGCAATTATCAGGAGCCGAGTTTGCTGAAGAAACGATCCTTGAGCCAAGCAATCAACGCGAGCCATCCGAATACCCATCTTCGGACATGTCCCAGACTGAGTTCAACACCAAACAAGGTGAAAAGAACGGCATACCACTTTCCCCTAAGACTACAAGCCCGTCACCTCCCAATTACAGCAGAAAATCCCGAAAGCCATACCTTACAAAAGCATTTCGATCCGTGCAGAGTGATGCAGGGCCTCGGACGAGGCACCATGCCGTACAGGCCCAGCCAGAGATCCTAGAAGGGCTCACTACCACGCCGCAGGAACCCAATTTTTGGAGTGGGGCGCCATCTGTCAACTTTCAACAACAGTTTCTCTGGTAGTTGAACATTGAACTTATAACTTCACCATAGTGAACCCAACCAAAGAAACCGTGTACTGAGATTATGGCTGGCCCTTTCCATCGTACGTTGGGAATCCCAGAAATTGTAACAGAAACATCAACTATCTTGGCTAAATGAGAAAGACGATACCACTATCGGTGAGTTGTACTATGTCAAAGAAATTCCCATTAAATGATATTTTTCGATGGTTGGTTATACTAAGTTATTCGAGACATTCGGCATCATCGCCAAATCTCGCCGTCAGCTGTGGGTCACGACTTCCCTGACGCCACATGGACTTCAATGCTTCCAGTTCCGGTGTCGTGCGTCTTGATATATACTAGATCAAGGATGCCATCGTGATTGAAATCACTCAATTCCCAGAATCCATTGTTCTCCGGGTAGAAGGTCGTGCCAACCTCCTGAACGCGAGTGTTGTAGGTGGACGAGCCAGACGCAACATGCACCTCAACCTTTCCAGTTCCCGTGTTCTGAGTCTTGATGTAAGCTAGATCCAATTTTCCATCGCGATCGAAGTCGACCATCTGCCAGGCGCCATTGTCTTCTGAGTAAAATGTCGTCCCAACCTCCTGGATTCGCCTCTGGTAGTTTGACGCTCCAGATGCCACGTGCACTTCGACCTTCCCTGTGCCCGTATTACGGGTCTTAATATAAATTAGATCCAGCTTTCCATCATGGTCGAAGTCTGCCATCTGCCAAACACCATTATCCTCCGGGTAGAACGTGGTTCCCGTTTCCAGAATACGTGTCTGATAGTTGGATGACGCGGACGCAATGTGTACCTCCACCCTACCGGTCCCGGTATTCCTGGTCTTAATGTAAACAAGATCAGGTCTGCCATCACCGTCTGCATCAATCAGTTGCCACGTTCCATTATCCTCAGAGACAAATGTTGTCCCAACTTCAAGGGTGCGAGTCCTGAATCCAGATGAACCCGACGCGATGTGAACCTCTACCTTCCCAGTTCCGGTATTGGTGGTTTTGATGTAGGCCAGGTCTTCGGTGGGATTGCTGGGAATCATTTGCCATGGGCCATGTGGATCTGGAGCACTGAAGGTACTGCCGGTCTCAAGAATACGAGTCTGATAAGGAGCCCCATGAGCTGGGTTTGCGAGAATAGCCAAAGGGAGAAGAATGTAGAGGGAAAAAAGAAGTTTGCATCGCTTGAAGGTCGCCATTTTTTTTTCTCACTTTATCTGCAATGCTGAGAAGTTGTATTTTCCAGTCCAAGGCCATGTTCATCTTTTTATACCCCGTTCTTGGTACTTTGTCATATCGTATGACTTCCATCCGAGGAAACACATTCTCTGAGTGTAGATGAATGCTCCTTGAGAAACACCCCCGGATGGCTAGATTCTCTTCTGCAGCTCGTATCTGCATGTCTCTTCACAGTACAGGAACTGGCTCATTGCTAGCGCGAAAAATCAGTAAGCATGACAATAAGCATAATGCGTTTCGACATGTGATTAGATGATGGAGCAATAATGGTAATTTGTCAGACCGTCGGGGGCGAATCGCTTCAGATTCCCTGTAGCACTTCGGGCTATAATGCTTACCCCAACGTCGTATTGCAGGTGTCCTTCATGGGCTAATCATGTACCGCAAGGATAATGACTTGTTTGAGTAGATTAAAGCGCTCCCTTGACCCTGCATCAGGACTTGTCATGCGACCTTAAGGTGTTCTGCTAGTTCTACTTTTATTGACATTGATAGCATCGAACGAAGGATATGGCAGGGAGGTAGTACCCTATATGGAGGTCGTAATATCAAGAACTGTCATCTGAATCGGTCATATCCTGTTCACCCATATCATCAGAGCTATCGAATTTCGCAAACTCCATGCCCGAAGCATCTCCATAAAGCTCAATGCGTCTCTGGTCTTCCAGCCATCGCATAATCTTATATTCTGCTTGGGAGACAGCTCGGACGAGGGTAGATAATGATACCCCAACCACCTTTGCTGCCGTTTCGTAGAAAGGCCGCGCATTCTCGGGCAAATCAGATTCCATTCTCCACCGCACATACATTGACCCTGGCCGAGGGATATCCAAGTCATCCTCAGCGATAACTTTCCGCGACTTAAGTTGTTGTGTAACTGCTCGTAGCATTGAGCCTATAGCTTCCTCGTCATCTTCGTCCGGAGGGCCTGCTACTTCTTGAGAGTCCGTGCCGGTTGGTCCAACGGGAAATAGCTCGCTTAATGGATTTGACGCTTTTCTCAAGGGTTAGAGGCACAAATAAAACAATTTGTTTCGATGCCGCCATACCTTTACTATTGTCGAGCCAGTTGTTCTCGTACCAATTCATGTACTCATCCAGTTGACTCGGTGTCATGTTGAACACATCACGCTCATTCACTAAGATTTCATTACCTTTGCCAATTCTGCCCCTTGCGGTTTCTCGGCTATCGAAATGTCTCTGGGTTTGGGCCCAGAGCTTCCAATCGATGACTTGCGTGGTTGGTTCTTTTGCCGAGGTAGGGTATCTCTTAAGGTCGTCGAAGGGGAAAAGTAACTTAGTCGATATAACTATTAGGCTAATCAACTGGATTTCAGGTAGGTCATGAGGTCTACTTCTGCCGGTAAGACCTTTCGGGAACTCGAAGGAAAACCCTAGAAGATCCTGCAGTCTTTTCACGGAGGAGTAGATGTCAACTAAGCCATATGTTAGTGTGTGGGCCGATCACCCGCACTGCGATTGCTTCTTACTTGGAAGAGCTAGTCTCCTAATATAGTGATATAGTATCGGGGGCAGATTTAGAGCTGGGAAGTGTACGCCAAACTTGTGGCGATAAAGGAGTGACAATTGCAACACAGCCTTATGGAGGTGCTCGGCTTTCAGCAACCTCTAAGAGATGGTCAGTATATGATTCTGAGAAAGAGAACAAGGCTGCTGACCGTGGTCTCGATTATTGAGAGATACTCCTGAGGTAATTTATCTCTCATTTCACGGGGGATTGAGCGTGTTACGCGAATATAAGGGATATCTCCGGACATGATCATCCTGAAGCGCGGGAAGTCAGATCATGATTTCCATCCGATACCCAGCCTAGGGGGTTTACCGATGAAAGTCCGCGACACCGACTGGAAGGCGCATTAAGAAAGCCCCTAGATAGCAGAGACCGACAGAGTCCACAAGTCGGGGCCATTGCAGATTCTTCCCGCCAAACCTAACGAGGTCTGGCTCCTCCTGGTCCGCGGTGGGCTGTGAGCTGAAGAACTCGGTCTCCTCGTCACCTTCGGATGGATTTTTTATCTTGTCCGAATAGGTTTCCAGACGAAGAGCCCACAGGTCACGGACAACATGCTGTACTTCATCGTCAGCCGACAGCATAGAATGAGATTGAACCAATGAGGGCGCACCTCAAGTTGCGCCGGAAACCCTCGGCTTTGCACCAAGGCATGGCACTGCTTCCAGAGGATCAACTGATACACCTGCAGGAAGAGGCTGTAAGCCTGTCGGCCACGATATGCTGACAGAAATAAATTAACACCTGATGCGAGTCCAGGCAGATCGGCGACGCTTACTCTTTGCACCCTTTTCGGTCGCGGCCTTCTTCACCCGATTTGTCTTGCCCTGCGTCCCAAAGTCGTCGGGCTCTTCTTCAACTTGCCGGCCCTTGTTTTATTTCGTAAGCATGGCTGCGAGGTTAAGATAGGCTACGAGCATACCTCTTGCTGATGACCCCGTCGGCAGAACCAGAGCCCATTGTCGAGATAATACCGAGTTTCACGGCACCCTTCCTGCCCACAGACCCCTCTGGTAGTGTACTCCATGGAGGGCACAGGTGTTCTTCATTCTTAAATCATTCAGATACTAAGTATAGATAGAGGTCATGGGCCTTTTCCTTGTGGTGTGGGGTACGTTTGTGGTTGAGTGCTGAATGCGGGCAGAATTGAAGTTGTTTTGGAAATTTTCTTTTTCTGCCCTCACCTTCCCATGGCATGGAAAATCATTGCAAACATATTTAGCACCTCGCAAAAATTTACCTAACGTAGAGTACTGTCGGCTCACGGTCCCCAAGGATGGATTTATATGTTAATTTATAGAACCGTTACATATATTAACCAGTCTCTTGTTTCGGCCATGCTCTTTTTTGGGCTTTTATTCTGTCCCCATTTCCAATCTTTATAGAAGCTTAAACCTACGAGATCGTGTTTGTACAGGTCGGAAAAAGGAATAGAACCAAAAACAAAAGAAAAAAGAGCCACTTGTGAATTAGGTAGAGCCATTGAAATTTTTAGAATTCGTCAAAATATCGTGAAAGCTGGACTCAGACTGGTTCCCGTCATGACAAAGCACGCTTTACGATGCCAACTAAACGCAACCCTCTCCAAGGCTCAATCGTCAATATAAGAGCCAGGTTGGATCTCGCCCAAAATGTGACATCCTTCACAACCCAAGGGTCAAACTTCAAGGATACCCTGGAACACACAAGGGCCAACGGAGCACAAATAGAGTCCATGACTATGGTAATTTAGTTACCCTTGGGGGCTTCCTTGACATCCATGGCGCACTCCTCACCCATGGCAGCGAGGATGATAACGTCTAGCTTCGTTAGTAACGACCGCACGGTGAGCACGGTGTGGGATACTTACTGCAGTCCTTGCCATCGTCAAACATGGTCTGGATCCTGTCACCGAGCTCGCCGTCGGGGAGCTTGACGTCGTCCTTGCTGTCGCCGTTTTCATTCATCAGGTTCAGGAAACCATCGTCGATATTAAGCTATGCGAAATCAACAAAAACTATCCTGGCCAGGGAGGTATCGACTTTTCGGGCTACTTACAAGCTGGTATTCGGTACGCTTGACGAAGGGAACATCCATGTTGTGGGTGGAGGGGGACAGATCTTCAAGCTTCTTGCCGGTGAAGATGTCGAGAGCGACCAGGTGAACCTTGGCGTGACCGTGCTTTCCGGTCTTGGAGGTGGACATGTCGACAATCTTGCAAGGGCGGCCCTTGATGACAACGTGACCGTTCTTCCTCAGGGCAGAGCACTGCTGGGGGTAGGTGGTGGAGGCACCGGCATCACCACCGGCATCGGTCTGGAACTCCTATAGAGGGAAAATGCCGTCAGCTATAACGGTAATGAAATGGGCTGAAGATGCGCAGACGCATTTGCGTGCAAGAACGAGGGGAAGGAGATCGTGATGCGGGGCTGAAAATGCCCAACAGTGCAGGCATATAAAATGGGGTGGAGAGAAATGTGGAGGAGCGAATACATACGTGGGTTTCGTCAGCCATGGTGATGGTGTTGGTTGGAGTGAATGACAAGGAGAAAGGTGAGATTCAAAAGGGAGAGACACAGAGAGGAGGAAGGGGGTTGAGTCGGAGGAGAGAGGGGAAAAGAGAAAAATTAGAAGGTTAAAAGAGACGAAGAGAGAATTGAACAAAATCGCCGAATTAAAAAAAAGTATTTCGTTGTGGCGGGGTGTTGATGTCGCTAGACCCTAACAGGCTTAGTCTCGGATATGCTGTGCCTCTGGCCTGCTTGGAACGCCGTAGCATCTCGACCCGTCGTCAATGGTTGTCCCTCTATTGGTGTACCACATGGTGTCAATGGAAACTACCTACAAAGGTCTCCTGAACATCGGACCTTATACCAACCTCTCAATTCTTTCTTTTTTCCCCCCATTTCTTATCCACAAGCCCCTTTTCCCCTCCCCAGAAGCTTATATTCACTGTCTAACTGTGTTGTTCTCTCCTTGGCACGAGTGTGATTGAATGAACTGTTGAAACGGCCTTTCTCAATGAGGCCAGTGGACTATAGCTCCATACCTGAACGCCTCTCCGGGCTAGCCTTTCACCATGTGGCTTGACCGCATGTCCGGTCATTCGACCCCTCCAGGACCTCCGATTGATAGTCGCAGCAATTCCCCCCTTCCTCGACGGCCAACTTCTCGTCTATCCCCCTATGCACAAAATAGTCGCCCGCACCCGAGTCGACCTGGATCGTCCTTGTCTAACTTACTCACCCCTAGCGACTCCACTATATCTCTCTCCGCCACCCCACGTGGCGATGACTCGGTCTTGAGACAATCTCCTGCGAGGCTCGCCCATCTAACGTGGCGGATCCACTTGATGTACTAAATGATGTTATTGGAAAACGAAAGGAAACGCTGGCGGAAGCAGAATCGCCTGTCTTATCTTCTACACCTGAAGCAAAGCCGTCGCAGTTGGTGGCGGAGATCGACTTTGGAGACCTCAGCCTCGAGGAGTTTGTCACGAAACCAGATGAGCCGAGGAGGGTTTCAAATAGCGACATTGGAGCGCAAACAATCCAACAGTTCGAGAAGGAAAGAGATAAATTTCAGGATCTACATTCGGCTATCACAGGCTGTGACGATGTTTCTAAATCGGTAGAAAAGTACCTGAATGACTTTCAGACTGAGCTCGGTGCAGTTTCGGCGGAGATAGAGACTCTCCAGACTCGATCCATACAGCTGAATGCAATGCTGGCGAATCGACGCAATGTAGAACAACTTCTAGGGCCCGCTGTGGAGGAAATTTGCATCGCTCCAAAAGCTGTTCGACTAATTGTAGAGGGGCCGATTGATGAGAATTGGGTCAAAGCGCTGAATGAGATCGAGAGCCGGGCAGCGACTATCGAAGCCAAAGCTTCTAGCCCCAGTAGCACCAAGTCGGTCGAGGATGTTCGTCCACTGCTGAGTGATATCAAGAAAAAAGCAGTTGAGAGGATCCGGGACTATCTGGTCTCACAGATCAGAGCCCTGCGATCCCCAAATATCAACGCCCAGATTATCCAACAGCAGCGCTTGGTGAAATTCAAGGATTTGTATAGCTACCTGTTCAAAGCACATCCCACCTTGCGGGGGAGATTGCGCAGGCTTACATCAACACGATGCGGTGGTATTATCTATCTCATTTTACTCGCTATCTTCAAGCGCTTGAGAAGATCAAGGTGTACCCTAGCGATCGAAATGAGGTTCTGGGGGGAGATCCCTCAGCTCCAAAATCAGGTGAGCTTTTTTTTTTTTGTTTTTTTTTTCTCTCGCTACGCTCCTGAATCTGACCTCGCTATAGGGAATCTTGTCCCCGGTGGGCGGACTGGTCCCGCGGCTCATGACCCATTCTCGCTCGGCAGGAGAATTGAAGTCTTGCGAACTAGTAATCACATGGCCATATCTTCATATGTGGCAGAGGAAGACACGTCTTTCCACGGAATTGAGGTCCCTTTCAGGAACTTCAACCTGGCTTTGATGGACAATGTCTCTGCCGAATACTCCTTCATGACGGAGATGTTCTCCACTTTGTCCTTCCAGCAGATATCCCGCAAAGCTACTGAAATATTCGACCCGGTCTTTGCTCTTGGGCAAGGACTGACCAAGCAGTTAGTCGAGCACACGACCGACTCTCTAGGCGTCCTAATTTGCGTACGGTTGAATCAGCAGGCTGCCTTTGAACTCCAACGTCGAAAAGTACCCGTTGCTGACGCGTACATCAATGGTATAAACATGCGGCTCTGGCCGAGGTTCCAAGTGATCATGGACCTTCACTGCGAGTCTTTAAAGCGGGTAGCTTCGCACACAGGCCGAAGTGCCGTATCCGCCCTATCTCTGACTGGCGGGGATGACTTGAACCAATCCTCAGCGCCCCACTTCCTTACGCAGAGGTTCGGTCAGTTGTTGCATGGCATCTTGGTGCTGAGTAGTGAAGCTGGAGACGACGAGCCGGTGTCTAATAGTTTGTCGCGGTTAGCAGCCGAGTTCGATAACCTTTTGGCGAAACTGAGCAGGATCGGCGGCGATGCGAAGAGACGGGAAAGATTCCTATTTAATAATTATTCTTTGATTTTGACTATCATCAGCGTATGTTAGTTGCCTCCTCTAGGAACCGCTTTCACTGACGTTCAGACAGGATACCCATGGCAAGTTAGCAACCGAACAGAAAGGGGTAAGTGCTAGACTCTTCGCTCTCTACCCAAGCAGTTAGACTAATGCTATCTAGCATTTGGACGACATGTTGAAGAATGTTGGAAAGCGTGGTTAGAATCCTCGACTCTAGTTTAATCACTCGGAAGATACATAAGATACTATAGACATACAGCTTCTACGAATCGCTTCAAACTCCTGATGTAGATAGCATACAGATTTTGCGCATGCGCTCTAGTACATGAAGTGTGACCAAGAATGACTTAGCTCTCATATAATGCATGCATGTATTAATGCAGCGATTGTGAGGTCGCCTGAACCTTTACCCAATCTAGAACACACAGACACCTTTCCTTATCGCCGCGCTCTTATCGCCGGACTCCACGTGGGGAATTGCGCCATTGACAACAACTCCCCCTACTTGAAAAAAGACCTGGTCAATGAGCCCCCTAGATTAATCCAACTCCATATCTCAGAGAAACATGGCTACGCGTACGAGTCTCTCTCTTTCGAGGAAACTCCTCCACCCGCGGCGCAGCTTCTCCAGCACGCGAACAGCCAATGCAGATGTCACCCATGCGGTAAACACCTCCTCTCCTTGACCCTTCTCAGCGCACTTTACAAAACAAACGCTCATTCACACAAAATAAAAAGGTCATTGGTGCGGGAGTGGTCGGTCTGGCAGTGGCCCGGGAATTGGCATCGAGAGAGGGCACATCAACCATTCTTCTGGAGAGACATGATGCGCCAGGCACGGAGACCAGTAGTCGCAATTCGGAGGTGAGTAGTACCCCCCCCCTTGTTTGCATTGAATCAACGCATTAATTACAATTGGCTTTTTTCTTCTCTTGCACACAGGTCATCCATGCCGGGTTATACTACGGACCCGATACCTTGAAAACCAAGCTCTGCATCAAAGGAAAAGAGATGATGTACGACCTATGCGCGCGCAACGGACTCCCTCATCGCAACACGAAGAAATGGATCGTCGCGCAGACAGAAGAGCAATGGGCTGCGGCGCTGAAGACCCACGAGCACGCACAGAACATAGGCGTACCGACGCGACTCATCGGTCGCGCAGAGGCTCAGGCTCTCGAACCGGAGGTGCAGGCTCTCGCGGGGATTGTCGAGAGTCCGACCACGGGCATCGTAGACAGCCACTCCCTGATGACCTATCTGCAGGGCGACTTCGAGGACCGCGGCGGCGACTGTGCGTTTCTGACGAACGTAACGGGAATCGAGGCGCTGGACGGAGGAAAGAACGGATACCGGATCACGGCGGTCACAAGCGACGGGACCGAGACGTCCATTACAGCTGAGACGCTGATCAACAGCGCCGGGAACTACGCGTGCTATATCAATAACATGATCCTCCCGCCCGAGCGACACCGCACCCCGTACTACGCCAAGGGAACGTACTTCTCGTACGCGGCGTCGTTCCCGAAAACCTCCGTGCTGGTCTATCCAGCCACGCTGCCCGGCCACGGCGGCCTGGGCACCCATCTGACTCTAGACCTCGGCGGCCGCATACGATTCGGCCCCGACGTGGAATGGGTGGACGACCCGAACGACCTCGTGCCCAGTCCCGCCCGGCTGGCGCAGGCGCTCCCGGAGATCAAGGCCTATCTACCCAACGTGGACCCGGAGGCAATCAGTCTAGACTACTGTGGGATCCGGCCCAAGCTGGGGCGCGGTGGGGCCGTGAACACCGGCAAAGGGTTCCAGGATTTCATCATCCAGGAAGAGGAAGGCTTCCCTGGGTTCATTAACCTGCTAGGAATCGAGAGTCCAGGGCTGACGAGTTCGTTGGCGATCGGGGAAATGGTGGAAGGCCTGCTGTACGGGAGGAAATGATGATCGTCCCACATGCATGGAAGGATTCTTAAACAATTTTCATCGTGTATATACCCGCTGTACATAAACATCGCATGCATATGCATATGCAAACCATAGACGAGAACTATTTTTGATACATCATATTCTTCAGTATTATTAAGTTTCATACAGCCCTAACAAGGAAAACCCACTTCTCCCGAGGTCTATACAAAAAAGAACACGAGAATCATCTACGAGAACGAAGAAAGCCGTTACTCATCGCTCCACCTTATTAAGCTTGTCCAGATGCTTAATTGGTAGCCAAGCGGAAGCAATTCGCCATCCAGCCTCTGGTTACGTCAACACTTTTACCATTTCCGGGCCTGGTTTTCCAATCCGATGTGCCCCCCATTGTCCTGGGGTTGTCGTGTTGGTTCTGGACCAGGTTCGAGCTGGGTTCTGTCTAACTTGCTGGGTTCGTTGAATGGGTGCTATATATTCTCCGGAGGGATGTACTCGCCACGAAGGTGTTTCTAGGTTACTTGTCGAATTACATTCATTTTACTCCACCAGACATTCCTCTTTCTCTACTGGAATCAATCACTCATTATTTGATTTCCTTCTCTTGGGTACTTTATACATATGAATATACATTACAGAACAATGCCGCATTCAACCCAAGCATCGGATCGTCATGTATCAAAACCCTCCTACCGTCATCAACCATACTCTCAACCCCAGCCATCCAAGAAGTCGAAGTCCCAATCAAAGCCTAAACAGCCCAATACATACAACAGATGTTGGGATTGGATTGTTACAGATGGTAACTGTCACTACGCCAAGAACCGTTCGACATTCCGAAGCTACCGACGAGCGCCGGGCAAGATCGCCGGCTCACGTGTCCTTGGTGTAGGGAGTGTTGAACTGCGTGTCCGACGGCGCTCGGGCGATGGAGAGATCAACACACTTGTGCTCGATAACGTATTGCATATGCCGAATGCGCGGTGCAATGGGTTGAGTCTGCCAAAATACCGTGAAACACACCCATTAGCGGGGGTAGATGGCGAAGGTGACCACGTCGAAGCGCGGAGTGACGATGGATCGGAGCCGGAGTGGTATGCAGAAAGGTACCATGGACTACCAAGAGTTGTGCTTGCGGGCGAACCTCAGGGAGAATCACATTTGAGCGATGATGGTCATAATATGCTTTCTGTGATGGCTTCGAATGAGGAGATGGAAAAACTTTGGCAGAGGGTGCAGAATAGAAGTTGGGTGGCGTAGGGTGATTTTGGTGCGAGGTGATCCGTGACATGGTTTACAACATTTTCGTGGCTGTTCAGCGTATATTTGATCGTTTGCGTGAGGGTATTTGGTATGTGGTCATTGGCGTAGAACTGTGAGGTCTTCCATGTGTATACCACCCGTATGTGGCTGAATATAAATCATCCCATTCAGATTGGTATTCGATGCGAAACTGATAGGGTCCTAATGTCCCACCGCGCATTCATGTCCTCGTTCTACACACTCGTGGTCAAGCGCTCGAGGCGGCTTCCCAGGTTCCTTCTGCAGGTCACTTGGAATATTGGAAGGATCATCGTGCGATAATTTAAAAAATGGCCGACCCTCGTAGGCTCAATCCATATCCATCAGGACGTCGCTCATTATATAGAGCACGTGGGAAAATTTGCGAACGCTCCATTTCCCAGTATCCTTCAATAGGCCCGCATAGTCCAGCAAAATTCGTCGCGCCGAGTGATAGCCGCTCTGAAAAGGGACTCCACGGAAATACACCGTGCCCCCTTTTCGAATGAAATTCACCGCTGCCTCATCCGATTCTGTACACGATTGAGCCCCATTAGGCTCCATAAAGCTGGTGAACCCCTCGCCACACAGACCATTCCAGTCTATATCATCCAGGATGTCGATTGGAGTGCCTCCAGTTTGTGGCTCAGTGCTATTGGGCACCATGTATATGTACAGACCCAAGACGAGAGCTGCGGAAAAGAGTGAAAAGACTGAATGAAACGTAATGTGATCCGATGCTTTGCGATGGATCATAATTTTGTACACGTGGGCTGCGTGGAGACAAGCCCTCCGGGCGGCTGGTGTTTGCGACCAAGCAGCAATATCATCGAGGGCTTTCCGCGCTGGGCCTGGACCTGCACGGCCTGCAGCCAGTTCAAAGATTTGGATATCTGCTGTGAGATTCATACACATGTTGTGCCACAGGATACTAGCGTTGGGGTCCAGGTGCCCTAGGATATAACTGTATTTGCTAGCAATCTGGATTTGAAGGGTTGAAAGACATCTGGCACGGCCATCCATGGCGTAGGTGTGACATGGAGCGAATGGGTAACTTGCGCGATGTGATAGGAGGCGGTGATATGCCTCTGAAAGCTTCAGCTGCACCATTGATAATACTGCATGCATGCCAAGATTATCGACATGGCTGTCCAGTGATGCGATCTCTACATTTTCTGATGGAGACAGCACAGTGGGCATTAACATGCACTGCCCCCCACGAATCAACTGTACCCACTGCGCTGAACTCTTGGCTTCAAAGAGCACTTCACTGCATGGTAAAATGAGCTGAATAGTATCGGAGACGATGATGGGGCTGGTGGACAGGAATGATGATAGCCAGGCATCTAGAACGAGTAGTGCAATAATTAATCTGCTTGGTCAGTGAGGGTCTGGGCTTCATTATATCGGGCGACGAACCGTTTAACAGATTCTACTTTGCTCCAGGCTTTCCATCTCAGAACATTGTCTGTAATACTTTCAAACATACTTTTGTCGAGCAATTGGCCTTCGGTAGCCGAAAACAAACCGTGCCTTTGTGCGACCTATCCTGAGTTAGTGTGAAAAGTTGTGGATAGTCTTCCATATTTACCGATATGAGGTTGACGTAGAGCATCTGGCTTTTCTCGATATGGCCCTTCTCCTATATAATAATTAGCAACCAGTAGCATTTCGGCTGAGACACTACGTACCCCAGTCAGAGCAGCTAAATTTAGAAAAAGAACGGAGGCTCCAAATGCCGACATAGTGTTTCCCGAGCTTTCAGTGTCAGCAGCACACATGGCCAACTCAGCTGTGAGTTTCTCCAGGACGAACTGGTAGAAAAGGATATCAGTAAATCAATGGTCCGCGGGGTTTCTCTAGACGACATCTTACAGTGAAATTCTTGGAGACGAAAGAAGCTGTACCCTGTGTTCCTAGGAGAGTCATCCCAATTAGGCACATGACATAGAGTACCGAAGGACTGGTGTTTTTGGCGGAAAAGGTCGGGAGATGGATAAAGGGCACGAGCGGATGAAAGATGCGAAAATATAGGTCAAGTGCCATGTCTAAAATTTCAGCGGGAGGAAACTGAGCAAGGGCGACCAGTGCCGAGTCGTAAGCTGGAGGAGCGTTGGAAGTACGATTTCGTTGGCTGTAGAGTCGCATATATCCGAACGTGGCATGCAGGTGTCTTCTGCAGTCCTCATCAAGACCGTACCTTGACTTCTGCAGCAAGACTGGCGGACTGCTTGGCGATTGCCCAGGGCGCACCGCAAAAATATTATCTATGCTGCCGTACGCCACATCCCGCCAGATATCATTGATAAGGCGCCCGGTGCTATTCGATGGACCTAACCAACAGTTCTGAACTTTGGCAAATCTGTCATTTGGAATAGCTGCACCGGCTTTTGTATCGCCTATATCAGTGGAGGGTCCATCATGTCGTTCGGGGCGCTGTGTTGCGGAGGTACCCACGTTCTCCTCAATCAGACCAATGTTAGAGTCATGTCCAAAATCCAAAGAACCAGGATATGAAGTTGCGTCAGAAGGATTCAACCATAGCTGAAGTGATTCGTTTGGCATAGGATCAAACACAGGCCCTCTGTAGGACGGTTGGTATACCGTTGGTTCCTCGAAATACGTTTGTTGGCCAACCACGAGCATTGAATTGGCATCAGGCTCGGTGCGCGCATGCTGAGACGAGACGTCCGCCAAAAAGTCCAGGGATGATGGGAGACCTGCTGCTGCAGCGATGGGCATGTCGCGAGGCTCTACCGCTTGCGTTTGAATTGAAGTAGAATAAACGCCGGCATCCACATTAGGAAAGAATTGTTGACCATTTTCAGGGATATTGGACGGTTGATAGTGGAAGTCCTGGGCAGATGCCGCGGAGGGCTGTTGGTTGAGTGCCTTGGTGGTCGTGTGCGCAGCTGGACCGTTATGGCCCTTAGCATGCCGGCTTAGAACATCGCTGGAGTTTGTAAGTCACAGCCGCTTACCCGTCGAATGCGACCTGTGTGTGTGCAGGCTCTCCAATGTTTAAAGAATGCTGATCGCGTTGGAAGCTGCATACCTTCGAGAGAACCGTTTATGGCAGACATTGCATTCGTAGGGCTTTTCTTTAGTATCTGTGATATATTAGAAACCATCCCGGAGAAAAGTCCGGGCGAGATTAACTGACGGGACCGTTCATGGCGCTTGAAATGCTCTGTCTTTTTGAAGCGACGGTCACAGATGTTGCACTTCTTTATAACCATGATGGAGCTTGCGAGGTTGCAAGGACAGATAGTTAATTGAGGTCTCCGACCGTGAGAGCATTGCACTCAGTCAAAGCAGTCAGGATAAAAAAGGAGTCGACCGACGACAAACGCTTGAGGTGTAGAAGAAGTAGAAGGGAGAAAAAGAATGGGGCATGCGGGATGGGGGATCATTTTGGGTTTCTAACCTCTGCTAGTAACAATACCTACTGGTAAGTAAGTTGGATACATCCATACATACATTACTACCAATACCCAATGACTGGATATCATGTCGGTAATGAATAGTATGTAGTATTGCTGACTATCAGTGCAGAAATCCGACTCCAGTAGCCCATATCGTTCTCAGTAATGTACTCATTCAAGATGTACATGAGTGATATGATTGTTTGAATATAGATGTTGTTGCAACCCGAATAGTACTTACTACATACATTTATACCTATAGCCAGCTGCAGAAGTGGTGCCCCATTTTAGTACCCCGTGGGGCAGCTAGATCGATGTAGTACCTGGTTATCAACGCCCCCCGACCAAAAGCAATTACAGGTACTGTAACTAGTCACTCCTTTTGAGATTGTCAGTAACTGACTTCAGATTCCCATCGATCAAGTATTCAGGTATATTGCCTGTATTCAGCCCTGATAAATTACAACCTTCTTGGCGGCAGGCGGGGGAAAAGTCGGCATTTGCGGAGCCGTTCAATTGCCGACCCCGGTCTCCCGCAACCCTATTTACTAGTACGAGTATAACCACTTATACTACGACGTTGGAGCGTCCTCTTGACTATTGATATTCATGCTCAAATCCAGGATAGGTAAGGAGCAACATATATTGGTCATGAATTGTGTTAGTATCGAGACTTTTCTCAACTATTACTATCCTCTAATGATCGACACAGATAGTATGATCCGGATTATCTATGGCCCTGACCCAGACATGGGAATTGATCCAAGCTATGACACGCTAGACGTATTGGCAAGACTCGCGATACCTAAGAGAGTTAATAAAACAATAGACTCAGGGTATCCTAAGCTAGAATAAGCCTTCCGGAAGCCCCGGCCCACGGACGGCTGGATGACGCTCCGTTCTCCAATCACAAGCAAGCGTCAGGACTACACTCAGACTGCCAAGTTGCAGAAAACGTTTACTTTGGCGCAAGTCACATTTATCAACAGCTTAAATACCCCAAGTCAACCGTGTGGGATTTCACAGTCTAATCGAGAACCCTGAAGAGAAAAGATGGCGTCGGTTGCTACAGTACAAGACAACAACTCCGGCATCACTCGTCGCTATGGATCAGGCTTGGTCGCTGTCTTTGGTAAGTTACTGATGCTTGCTGCCCTTGGTCTTGTGGCGAGCAAGCTTTCATACATCGTCATTTGTCAGGATGGTCTTTGCAAGAATTTCTACTGAACACACACACAAGTCGGTGCAACTAGCGGAATAGGGGAATCGACGGCCCGCGCATTTATACGCAACACAGACGCCTCTCGTGCCTACCTCATCGGCAGAGATGAGACAAGAGCAATGCACATTATCAAAGAATTGCACCAGATAAAACCGGAGTCACAAGTCACTTTCATCAAATCAGACGTCTCTCTGTTGCGTGAGGTAGATGATGTGTGCAGTGCCATTCAGCAGAAGGAGGATAAAGTCAATATCTTATTTCTGAGCCCAGGGGTAGGGACAACGAACGGTCGTGACGGTATGATGATCCTACTTCGAATCAAGCCACCAGCCTGATACTGATCCTTCTTATCTGAAGAGACCGACGAAGGCCTAGACAGAAAACTGAACCTTCACTATTATTCCCGGATGCGATTTGTGACAAATCTCCTACCGCAACTTATGAAGGCTGGTGACAGCAGTGAGCATGGGCTGCCACTGTCTCGCGTAGTCTCGGTTCTTGAAGCCGGAGGCGAAGCTGCTCTTCAACTTGATGATCTCTCTCTTAAAACTCACTATTCCGTTCGTAATTGCGCAAAACATGCAATCACCATGAACTCTGTTTCAATGGAGCATCTAGCTGCATCTTACCCACAGATCTCGTTTATCCACTCTTTCCCAGGAGTTGTTAAGACACGCCTTGACCGAAACTTCAGCACTGCTACTAAGTATGCTATTACCGCCTTGATGGTTCTCGCCAGGCCATGGGTGACTGATTTAAACGAAAGTGGAGAAAGACATCTGTATGCCGCGTCGAGTCCACGGTTTCCTCCACAGAAATACAAGGATGGTATACCTGATGCTGCGGAAGGTTCTGATGGTCACCCTGGGAGTGGGTTTTATCGACTTAGTTCAACCGGGTCGACATATAAACCCAGCAAGATCATGGAGGTTTACCGTGCGGAAGGGGTGAGAAGTTCGATCTGGCAACATACACTTGATGTCTTTGCAAAGGTCCGTGGTGCACCAGACGTTGAGCCATGATGCTAGACTGTACTTCATAGGACGGTCTTCACTGTTACTACAGTGAGGAACATGTAAATGTGCAACATCAGATTACATAAAGTTCAGTTTCAGTTTCTTTAGCCCTCGTCTAGCTCTCCAATAGTTACTGTGCACGATGATGTCTGGACACCCCTTGATGACCCACGACCACTTCTGAGCGAACACCTCCGAGACTTCCCAATTCTGCGGAAGCCAGGGATCACCCCAGACCATGACCCCAATATCGCCAGTGGTGGGGTCCATCATATCAGTACACAGCTCGCAATCGTCGAATGACTCATCGGCCATGACAAGATTATCCCGCATTTGCGGAAACGGGAAACAATCTAGCCAGGGATGATGAGGTATTAAGGATTGAATAGCGGTGGGAAGGAGAGCAGCTGGGATACTTTCCTTATCGCAGGGTCCCGGCATATGAGTACTGAAGGGAGAGATGACGTCCTCTTCCATTGCATCCATGCGTAATCCAAGGGCTGCCATATTATCCAAAAAGGCACGGAGAACGTTGAATTTGCTCAAGGTAAATAGATGGTCGAGGCATGGATCTGCGGCATAGTATCTTTCATACGCTTCTGTGTTGAAGCGCGTCATCATTGCTACCGCCTCTGAGAACGTTGTGGGTCGAGGCATCTGTTGCGGCCCTTTGACTTGGTCTGGCCGTGGAAGTATCAATGCATAGCGCCGCGAGTCTGCCTTGTCATTCTTGGACTGCAAAAGAAGAGCCTTTTGCCGGGCATGGCGCTTTCTTGCTCCTATAAAGGAGTTAGTTTGTGCCGAGGTTGGGTTGTGAAAATAATCAACAAAGGTCGTAAGCTACAGAATAATAAAATGCCGTGATAGAGAGTCAAGGTGTGCGTCCAGGGGACCTACGCAAAGCACGTTGGTTGAGTTTATTCTGCAGCCTCTTCCGAAGAGCAGGATCTGTGATCCCAGTCCAGTCGTCGTCCTGCCGAGGGATCCGCTCTTGCGAGGACACTAGACGAAGCTCGAGGGGTGATGTGGAGACAGTATCATTCATGTTGTCCTGTGAATGGGTAGTAATTATCACACATATACCTGCAAGAGGATGGAAGAACGAAAGGGGCGCAAAGAGTCAAGCTGCAGACGGCTCCGATTGCGACTCCACTCGACTGCCTGGTGGCAAATGTGGATCACTAAACTCAGCACGCACCATGTTTATGAAACGGATCCTTTATCCACATCCACCATCTGTGGGATCCATGGATGCAGCCGGATGACAGATTTTCAGCCAATCACCGACAATTGGGTATATAGTTCGAGTTAATGAAGTAACTAAGTATATACTCCTATACCCCTGCACTGCAATAGTCGCTAAAAACTGTGTCTTTGTGGAAAGACTTTGGATGTTGAGTGAGGAGCTAGTGAAGCAGAAATTCGACTTTCAGATCCACACGGGACATGCAAAGCCCTGTACAATGCCAGCGTAGTTAAGGCTAGACAGAATACTGAGGATTTAACAAAAGACTTCATTTCTTGCAAATCAAGGTTTAAGGCATTGAAGAAATATACAAACATAAAATAGCAATACATAATTAATATTACGCACCTATTACACACACACACACACACACACACACACACACAAAAGAAAATGCAATCTCTAGAAAGTTATCTCGCTATGTCCTGAAAGCTCGCCCTGGACCCACCTAAACAATTCTTCCTGAAGATCATGATTCTGGCTCAGTTTAGAACCAGATTCCGCCTTCCCAATAGGCCCATAGTACTGTCCGTGTTTCGCGTCGGGGCTTACAGCCGCGAAAATTTGCGAAAGGGCGCCCTTTTCGACTGGGGTTCCAGCCAAGAAAATCGCGGCATGGAGGAAGGGTCTGAGAAAAGTCCCCGTTGAGGCATGGTGGAGGTTCGTGGCTACCATACCCGGGTGGACCGGGATAATCTTGACTCCCGCTTCCCTCTCCGCCAAAGCTCTAGCATAGTGAAGATTGGCGAGTTTGGACGTCGTGTATCGCTCAGTAGTATGTCGGTTTGGGGCGCTCGTTCGAAGCTCATCAAAGTTGTAAACGTCAGTGGGCGCGCGGGCGTGAGCGGCAGACGAGAGCATGACCATACGGGTCTGGCTATTCACTTTTGCCGTCTTGAGCAGAGTTGGTAGAAGCAGCTGGGTCAATAAGGCTGGGCCCAGGACATTGGTGCCGAATTGAATCTCGTATCCGTCCTTGGTGACATCCTCTGGGGTCATCATGATGCCGGCATTGTTGATCAGAATGTCCAAGCGGGACTCTTGACGAAGGAAGTCTGCCGCTGCTGCTTTGACGCTTTCGAACGATGCAAGGTCGAGCTGTAAGGAACGGATGTTGGTGGACTTTGGATTGTGCTGTTTTAGCTCCGCAATGGCTTGTTCAGCCTTGGGTTGGGATCGGGCGGCGAGATAGATAGTAGCCGGGTTATGTTGGCTGAGCTGGCGAATGGTTTCATAACCAAGACCCACGTTGCCTCCAGTGACGATTATAACCTGGCCGTGGAGATCAGGAATGTCCTGACTGCTGAATGTAGGCATGATAGGGTTGACT